GGGGGGGGGGAGGGCAGCGAGGAAGAAGAGGGCCCCCCCGAGATTGTGCTGCTCCTTTCCTGCCGCTATGCCACCCACAGAATGTACGGGCGACTGTGCGGCAGGGCTGGAGAGGCTATCACTCTGGTCCCATAGAAGGTGCTGCAGGTACCGCGGGACAGCACATTCTGCTGTGTGAGGACCCTCTCCACTTAGCCCTGCCCCCTGGAATGGAAATGGAAGAGGGCCCTGCAGGAGAGGGAAGGTAAGTCCGAAGTAGGAATTCGGGGGGGTGCTGGTGGTATTCTGCATAGCTGACTATTATAATGTATTGCTGGGACTTGTAGTCACGCATAGCTGGTGGTATTCTGCATTGCTGTATGATGATGATACAGCAATGTAGAACTATAAAGTCCCAGCAATACATTATATTTTTAAGTAGGGATGCATCACGAGTACTCATACTTGTGAAAATGCCCCGATACTAAACGCAGATACCGGTGTTCCGTTGAGAACACCGACGTAGTCGAATTTGCTGACCTCAGCATCTGCGCTTGTGCACAGAACAGTATTATCGAGGAAACAGGGATTTATTCACAAAGTATGTCACTTAAATTGTTAATTGTGACCATTAATATCCCATCCATCATTTACTGCCATGGATGGCATATTATTAACAGTTACAATTAACCATTACAAACAAATACTTTGTAAATAAATTCTGGTTTCCTCGTTAATCCAATCTGTATGTAAGCGCAGATACTGGGTTGGCGTTCGACAGAACACAGGCACTAAAACTTTAAACAAGCGGCTGCCTAAGGTCCCGCGCTTGCTGGGGACCTCGGCAGCCTTCAGGTTAACCATGAGGTGCCATGGCGGTGGGGGGTTGGGGCTTCATGGTTTCTTGCACCGGGACCCTGAAGGTTCTAGTTACGCCTCTGCATGTAAGGGAGTAGAGGAGACATAGACAGGGTTGCAATATTACACAGAGGGCTGCAGAAGGTAGAGGGTAGCTTCGGTGCTGGCTGTGCCTCCTCTCTATGACCACCATATTTTGTGTTTCTGCCTGGGCAGGATACACAGCCAGCCCTGAGAGCAATAAAAATGGAATTGTATTCCAAAACCACTGCTCAGATTGGGGCATTTAACAAGCATTTTATACTTGTGGGGCTACGTCTTCTTTAAATATATTCAGCTAAGTGTACAATTTAAAGGGTTATTAAACCCTTGCATGTTTCTGGATACATCTACTGCTAGCAAACAGTAGAAATATGCAAAAGGATTTAAAAAAAATACATTTTCAAAGGGTTAATACTTACCTGTGTCTCCACCGTGCGCTCCCGTCCAAACATCTGGAAAGTTCTCGGGCAGCCGCAAAGGATGTGCAGTTCAGATGTTCAGCGAGGAGACAAGGAGAGACACAAGGTAAGTATATGGAGCAGCATGCACCAGCACAGACTCTGTGGGACATGAGAGAAGAGGACAGAGGAGTTAGCGCTGGATCGGAGACCCACACCAGCGCTGGAGGGACAGCTGAAAAAGACAGGAAAGAAGATGATCGGATTAAGAGACATCATTTAAGGTAAGTCCCTACAGCAGGATTGGGAAGGGGAAAAAAAAAAGTTTGACTTGAAGGTCACTTTAAGTTTTATCCTCTGATGTTTTTACAAAAGATACTATTCACAACTCAAAAGCGGTCAGGTGAAAACTTGCCGGACATCTTATAGGTTTCTACGGACTAGAGCACAACATTACCTTTGATACCAACCTATTACTCTACTTCATTCAACCCTACTACATGCAGGGGTAGGCGAGTGTTGAAAATGTTCTTGTGGGAAGATAAATATTTTCAGTTTGTGTCTAAGCCACATAATGCAGGAGCTTGTCTGTATAATAAAAGAACAGGCAACTAATATTATTTAGGAGAAGGTCATATAACCCTATAAGATAAGTTTGTTCACCACTAGATTTATTTGCATAATCAGCATCTATGATCAAATTGTGCATACTGCAGCCAAACATAAGAAACAATAATGTTCTTAGATTTACATATTACCTGTAGTGGCCCTTTAACATGATCATCCTGTACCTCCACAGTTGTTGCATCCTTTCGAAAGGTTACCTGAAACATATGAAGTAATACAGCAGTGGTGTATCATTATGCATTATCTTAGAATAAACTGAAGCTTCAATTTAAGATTGTTTCATCACATAAGAAAGCATTTTTAAGTTATTAGTTAAGTCTTCAAGTATAATAATTGGTAAAATCTATTTGCATCTAAACATACATAAACAATTAACCTTATACAGAGTCTCTTTAATGATCAACTAAATCATGTACGGTATCTTTCATAGAATACACATTTCTGCTGTTAAGGTAACATTTTATAATCTGCAATTAAATTCAAGTGCAGCCCCTAGGACTGAAAAAGAAAGAACTTACTGAAGAAGAAAAACTTAAAATATATGGTGAAAGATAAACCTAGTTTAGCAAATGTCATTGCCTAATAATGAATTTGGAAAGCTACATAGTTGACCGAAAATAGACAGAGGTTGTGTCTGTCTTCTGAGTCTTGCAGTTATCTGTAAAAATGTGTCTGAGCATGG